GGGGGGGGGGTTAGGATGACGTTATGGTCCAACCCTTTGTGTTGCGTGCACGCTAGTAGTCTAGTCAAGATAGTGGTGTCGTTTAATTTGTGCACCTTTCTACAAAGAAAGCTTTGGTATCTAAATGTCATCCCTAACCCTAATCCACCAGCCATAACACCTCGCCCACTAATCCTAACCAATTATCAACAGCCCCCTAACTGCAACCAAAACCCATAGTTGTGCCACGGGCCAGTTTCACTTAAAGCAATATTTTGACACAAAGAGAAATAAAAACAAAACTGATGAAAAACCCAACAAGTATGGCAGCCAAGTTTGATGATCCTTGGTAGTGCATCCTGCAATTATTTGAAAATATCATATGGGCAGCAGAGAGATGCTGAACGCATAAAGTGACGCCGATCACTTGAAGGAGACTGAGTACTGTCGAATTATTGACCGATGACATCATGTGCATGTGCTCTCTCAGGGGAGTTTGATTCAATCATCATCATCATCGTCCTCCTACAGCCCACTTGACTGTCTCCTTCCCGCAAAAAGTTTGACCTTTGGAGAACCTGGTTACGTCTGAGGTTACAGAGATGTGCTGGGACCAAAATTTGGCCTTGAATAGTCATCGATGTAGCTTTGCAGAAGCCTGATAACCTCGCCTCAATTCAAAATGGCAGACTTGCAGAATGGCAGAATTGTAGGCATGGCTTCTTTTTTGTGCATCTACTCATTGTAAAAAATTCTGCCAAATTTTAGGTTAATAAGTGAAACTGATTTCAGCGGGCTGAATTTTTTGACATTTTATTTTGAAATACTGATGGGTACCACTGAGCTTAAAATGGTCACTTCAAGCCAAAACGGCAGACTTTTCTGTGGCTTTTAAGGCATGGCTTCTTGAAACCTTTTTGTGCATTTACTCATATCTGCAAAATTTCATGTTGCAAAGTGAAACTTGTTTCAGGGGCTGATTTTTTTTTTTTCACATCCTGTTGGGCACCACTGAGCCAACTGAGCCTAAAACACTTGCGTTAAATTCAAATGGAAGAATTCCTGCTCTTTCAGACCTTCCTGGGATATTTGTTTGTGTGTCTGCACGTGATAATATGTGTTCCTACCAAATTTCATGTTGCTACATAAATCATTTATGAGGTTGTGGAGTGATGAGAGTTTCATGTTTTTTGACTCCGTCCTCACACAATGACAACAACTCAAATGCTTCACATTTTAGTGTCGCACCTTATAAAGTATTCAAAACATTTGGTAGCAATTGGACAAAATCCTTTGGACAGTCTACTTCTCTGAAGCTAGAAGCTGATACTGCAACGATGAATTATACGTGACGTGAAGAGACAGTGGGTCCAAACAGAGCTGGGGTCTGTTTATTCTCTCTGTCATGAAAGCACATTTAAAATAAAATGGTTGCCAATGAGCGGAGAGAGTCTAATAAAATAATAATTTCAACAACGTTTGGCTGCCAGCTGACCTTGGCTTTTACTGAGGAACTCCTGCGCTTGTGTTGCATTCTGGGAACATATTAAAAGCTAATTGATTGGGAATGTGTGAGGAGGATCTCTGAACCAATGACCCAAACACAATGGTCATCTCTTTACTTTTTTTTTATGAACTCAACTACACTGAAAAAAAGAAAACATGAAATAAATTTAAAAAATATATAATAAGTAATAATAATAGTAATAATAAGTAATCCGTCACAGTCAATATGTAGGCTTCAATAAAAAAAAAAAAAAAATCTCTTCGTGTGAGCTGGAAGTTTTACCTTCACGTTATGTCATTTATTAAGGCAAAGGGAAAATCATTTACGAATCTTCTCGACTTAATCTGAAGGTTTTTCCTTTGTGTCAACCAAATTTGTACATTACAACGAAGTATATATTTCCTTTTTTTTTTTTTGAAGATTTAACATTTCCATGATGCTGAATTTTGAAACATCCAGGCAAGGGCAGTGACATTGGTTAAAAGTAAAACTGACTAAACTAAGGTGATCAGACTGCCGTTTATGAATTTGAAGGTTTGAAAAACTGTGCATGCGCATTGAAACGGCCACTTGAGGGTCATTGCCAAGGATGCAATGGAGTCATTCCTGAATTAGCCTGAGCGGTCATGAATTTTTGAAAAGGATTATTCAGTACTGTTTTGAGAAGTGTGGATTTTAAAACTTGAGTTTCATTGGCCTTTTGAACACACACACACACACACACACACACACACACACACACACACACACACACACGTACCACCTCCACCATCACCAGACTCAAAATAGCTCTTTGGGACATCCTTTGTTGTGTTTGACTCCTTAATCCTGTGTCCTTTTGATCCAAATGTCAGGAGCTATTTTAGTCCCTGGGGAAAACAAGATTTGACAGTCCCTATTGCAATTTGATCCGGAAACAATCTGAATAAATGTGTACGTGTGTGTGTGTGTGTATGTTGTTGTGTGTTTTTAAACATGATATTATGTTGAATTAGACAGCCAGTTATATTCGAGAAGACAAAATGTTCAGTGTTTGCTTCATAGTGAGCGTCATTTCATTAATTGTATTCGGTTAAAACAGCCAACAGCTAATTTGTGGTGACTAAATCATCCGTTTAATCCGGCGCTGAGCGCAGCATCTCTGTTAGATGTCACATTTGCTTTTGTTTTCCTGTCATGAAAAAAATCTAATGGGGTGTAATTGAGCTGATGATGATGATGATGATGATGATGAAGGTGTTAACGGTCTTGTCTGCAGGCCTTCTCTGTATTTATGGTGACATGAGCGTCAGCCCTTCAGGCTACATGCCGGTGATGGAGGAGCTTTTCACTGACAGGTGATACACACACAACACAGATACACATACTGTATATATATATATATATACACACACTGTATATTTGTTTTATATATGGATATATGGATATATATATATTTATTTATTTTTTTTTTTTTATTTATTTATATAGGATTAAATGTGTGCTGTGATAGTTACATGCTCAGGCTGTTATTGTGTTGACCTCACTCAGGCTGTGTGCTTTAATGAAGAACAAGAACGTATTACTTCTTTTGTTTTCTTTCTGTCTTTTTGTACACTTGGCAAAACATCCTTCAGCCTGCAGCTTGTTTTGCTTAAGACTGCCGCAATCATGGCATGTTTATTTATTTATTTATTCGCTGCGCTCTGGCTCACGTTCAATACAACATGATGATGAGCGGAATATGTAATGAAGACACGTTCTTCAAAGAGGACAGTGCATGTTTCATTTTGGTCAATGTTTTATCTTTTTACTTTTCATTATTTCTGTGGAGTAAAATAATTCCTCACCACTTTAATATGTTCGTTTGGACCAGCTGCCAAAACTACAGGGACAAGAAAAGGCCTGAAACTCAGTTTTGAAAACCTAACCTTTGTTTGAAACCACAACCCAGGCTTAAAACCTCAGTTTAAAATTCAAACCATGGCTGAAGTCCTTAATTTCAACCCGTAATCCTTGTTTGAAATCCGAACCAAAGATTTAAATCCTAATTTGAAGCAGTAATCATAATTTTAAACTGTAACCCAGGTTTGAACAACGACTCAGGAACCATCACCCTTGGTTGGACACGGCTTAGCTGAACCATGAGCAACTGCGATGTCATTTTCAATCGACAGCAAGTGGCAAAATGGCCTCTCCCTGAGATGGACAAATGGGTGGACTTTACTGCTTAACTATTATTCCATGTATGCAGTATTAACCAGAATGCCATAATTCGACTAGCGCAGGCACAGTATTCTTGTCAAGAAAATTTTGGGGTTGACTTCTGATTTAAAACCCTGGTTTCCACCCTACTCTGAAATACTAACATATAACCCTTGCTCAAAACCTTCCATTGTACCTCTGGTTTACAAACCTATTCCAAAACCATAATCTTTGTTTAATATCCTGACCCTATCTTAAAACCCTAATTTCAAACCAAAACCCTGCCTTGAAGTTGAAACCCCAACTGGAAACCCGAGTCCTTGTTCGAAAGCCGAACATATGTTTGGAACCCTACTTCGAGCTCAGAGACTTTAATCTCAATCTGACTCACACAGTGACTGTTTGTATCCCGAAACAATGAGAAGCCAAGCGCAATAATATCATTCAAAAGATTCCACAGAGTGCGTTCACCGACTTCTAGTGTACCAAAGTAGATCACAACATATTAGCACTTTCTCTTTCTCTCCTAGACTCATCTTCCTGCCTTTTGAACCATTGACTTCTCTAACACTCCCGCCTTGGGCATCCTATCTTTTCCAAATGATTGCTCCCGACGGAAAAGTCATGTGTTGACTCAGACGGGGCATCATTAGGGCCAAGGCACAAGGTGCCAAGGCCCTCTTGAAATTGTTTCATTTCTCCCTCATTATTTCCCCCCCACCCACCTAGCACCCCTGCGGTTTTTAGAAATTCAGTACCCAAAGCCAGTTTGACTTAACAACATAGAATTTGGCATGCATGGAAATCATGTGAAGACCCACAAGTCTCAAGAAGCTTTGCTGTAAAATGCACAGGAAGTCGTCCATTTTATTTCAAGAGCCTTAATAGAATCCTGACTTGAAATGCAATTTTGAAACCCTACTTTGACGAAACCCTGATCATATCATCTCTAGAGAGAGAGAGAGAGAGAGAGAGAGAGAGAGAGAGAGAGAGAGAGAGAGAGAGAGAGAGAGAGAGAGAGAAATATTCCCACATTGTATATTAATACGTCCTCTTAACTATAAGGGCAAGTGTTCATCGTTGATTGTCAGAAGCATGAAATGAGCTGGCTCGGCTGTTAGTATTTCCGATTGAAAATGATGGTAAATTGTTCCGCTGCGTTGCGCCATGATGTCCAACACGGCCCAACCGTGATACTCGTAAATGGCATCTGCAGACATGATTGAATTGCTTGATTGTGGTTGATTGCACCATTGAAATACTTGAAGAGCGACGTTTATTTCATTTCATTATTTGTTGTTGTGCTGAAGTCCAAGCGACAGCATTGTTGTAATAATGGATTTGGTAAAAACAAAAACCTGTATTGGGGGTTTGGGGTCACAAATAAAGGTGCCCCAGGAATTTTGCCTATCAAAAAGAGATCACACAAAAGTAAATTATAACTCAGCACTGTCAAAGTACCATCAGTAAAAAAAAAAAAAAGACGGAATGGTCACCTTCTTGCTACAATTGCATAAGGTGTGAAAAAAAGTTTGTTTCCATAAAGCTGCAAATGGAAAATGTTCTTCTCCCGTTGCAAACAGTTCACATGTCATATCAGCGTTAACAAAAAAAAAAAATCATTACGTTAATACATGCTGACAAGCTGCTCTGAGCGAAACACCGCCTGGAGTTCTTCTCTCGCCGTGAAATTCCTATGCAGCGCAAGTGTGTTTATCATCTCATTGACACAGCCGCACACACATTTGTTATGTGGCGCACAAGCGAAGCCGCTCGCTGGTGTGTTTTAATGAATCGGAAGGCAAGGAAGATGCTTGGTGAAGTGGAAAGCGACGGGAGGCGAACGTGACCACTTGCTGATAGCCGTCACATGCCAGAGCAAACATGGCCTTGTGTTGTCCACTCTATGGTTTGGAACAATATTTTATTAAAAAAAAAAAAATCGTGCATGAAAAACATCCCATTTGCGCATTTGAGGCCAGGGCAATCATGCTCCACCAGTCAGTTGATGGGGAAGTGTAATGATGCAACATAGCGGGGCTGCAAATTACGAATCTCAATATAGTCAGGGAGCACTGGAGTCCATTTGTGAAGAAGTCTGGGTTGGTCCAACAAGGTTTCATTTAATCTCAGACGGGCTCCTATCAGAGATTAGTCAAACTAGTTTTGAAATTAGTTCATCCGGTTTTAAAATCAAGCAGAGCCCTGTGGCACCATGTAAAATTAGTCTTAGTTTAGTAAAACTCAGTTCAACTGAGTTTAAACCAATTTATAGGACTATGGATATTGAAATTAAAATGAATCATTAATCGTGCAATTAAACGAAAAGGCTAAACCGCTACACTACTGTGAAGAACCCTGTGGCAATGGGTGCTTTTTTTTTTTGATTAAATTTTACAACCCGTGCCTCACAGAGCGGCAAAGGTTTGGAGAGGGGTCTGGCGGTGGCTGCCGGCTGAAGCGCCTAAAAACTGCAGCCAGACTTTCCAATCCAGAAGGTTTGTGAGTATGTGAACAATGTTGTTTTTTGTCAGGGTTCATTAAACATTGCAAAGACATTTTCAAGAGATTCACAGTTTCGTTTTACTGGTCGCAAACCCTTTCGGAAAAACATTTCGTTACATGCCCACACACTCGCAAACCTTTGCCACTCGTGAGATACAACGGGTTTACGTATTTGCTAGCTTGCAAAAACGTTAGCCTACCATTATTTATGAACTTCAACGGCTCCGTAATGGTTTGACAGAGAACCTCAAACTTTTGCTCTTTTGACAAAAACTAGCTGACTGAATTAATGACAAGTAAACAGACAACCCAATGAAAAAGAAAGATACTGTTTGGCAGGAACTGGTTGACAGTTTTAACAGATTTAGCAGAGTAAAAGAGAAAAGAGAAGTCGCTCAGTTTAAATCTTGCTCGAAAAACTTCAAAACGAAATCCGGTGCTGTAGCAATGGAGGTACAGCTGAATTTCTGCCACTGTCATCATGTTTGAAAATTTGTCCAGTCTTCCTGTTCAGCTCCAAAATTTTCTCCTTGATAAACTGGTATCTCACCAAAAATTCCTCTTCGTCATAAAATTGAAGAGGACTAAGCCTGTCGATCAAATTTAATTGAGGAAATTCATTATTCTGCTCTCCATACCGAACAAATGCAGCCAATGTCTAACCTTGGTGAGACAAAACTCAACGGAGCTTTGCTTACCTCTGGGATTTGACGTGATAATGTTTCACACAGTGTGATGATTCCCATTTTGGAGTGGCTGCTCATGGCTTTAGGGGAAATAATTTCATTGATATTTGAATGAAATGATTTGATGTTAATCTCACTCGAGGTGGCATTTAACAATGTGGCGGCACAGCATGTTCTCACAGCTGTCAATCACTCTTTTACTATTTCAACTGGGCTTCATTACAGATCCACATAGAGGGCTTCAAGATAACGATTTTTTTTTTTTTTTTTTTTTTTGTGTGCACTGACCTGCGGCGGCAGTGAGCCGTGCAGTTATGACAAAGATGATAATAGTGGTCATTTTCATGTCGATATCTCCACCAGAGTTGAGACGTCAACTCTGAGGCTCATATTATTCAAAGGAATTTAATTATTTTGAATCAGACTTGAGTTGAAATGAAAGCAGTTTCTCATAGCAGACCAAGCCTTACATCAAATGTCGTCAAAAATGTTATACATGATGATGGACCATGTTTAAAAGCCCAAAAGCCTTTTCATGTCGCGCAACAGCCTGCCGCCATAACTCAGAGTATGAAAGCCAAAAATTGTACTGAGTGTACTGTTAGTTTCAAGTATTCTGACTCAAGTAAAAGTAAATCTTGTTTGAAACCCTAATTTTAAAAGCTAACACTTTCAAACACTGCTTTTAAACCTTCATCATGGCTTTAAACCTTAATTTGAAACCTTCAAAACCCTAACCCTCTCTTGAAACTCAACCTCGTTCAAAACCCAAATTCAAACACTAAAACTCACTAAAACCCTACTTTTTATACTTTTCAACTCCAGCTTGAAACCCTCATTTTTAAACAGTAACCCTAAATTGAAAGGCAATTTGAAAACCCTAACCCAGTCGTAAAACCTTTCTTCAAAACCCCCAACCCAAGCTTGAAACTCTGACTTCTTCTTGTCACAGCGCAAGTCCATTCCTGTCGCCTCTCCCTGTCCTTTTTTCTGCTGTGTGTGGGCAGCGGAGCTCCGTGCCCCATACTGTGAAAATAACACATTTTCAATTCCCATTTTGTTAGCTGGGCCTCAGGATACTCCACCAAGCAACAAGTGACACCGCGTGACCATCTTTCATGCTAACTAGCTTAGCTCACGGGTCACTGTCCTTGCGCTTTCATTCTTCAGTCTAAAAGTGCCACTGAGCACATTTTTTGCATTCATTGGGATTCACCGTGACCTGGTCGCAGACTCATACACAATTTATCGGAGGTTGTGTTTGATACCCGCTAAGCCTCACAAAGGTGGCTGTGTGTTTGCCCATTAAGAGAGAATACACGCATTCCGCAAGGCCTTTATTCACAATTTGGGGTTCCCCATGTGGTGCTCAATAGGATCAACAGGAGTGGGAATTTGAACACAAAAGGAAAATAGTGCTTTAAAGTCACAACACTGGCTTTTTTTTCCCCAAGATGGCGCCCGAGTACGCAGCTGTCGGCAAGTGCTCTTCAAGAGCCTTGCTCTTTTGTTGTTTTTGTGTTTTCTTTTGTCACATTGTGTGTGTTGTTACGTCGTGTGGACCTGCTGTGGATTGTTTTCAACATTTTTTTGGCCATGATGTTTGTCAAAGGAAAAGAATCTGTGCTTGGTGGTTGCGCCTTCTCGGCAGCACGCGTGTACCAGCACTGATTTTGATTGGGAGGAATTCTCTGCCCCATCTGACTGTCGTTGCTGGACAGCCCCGGGGCGATTGTGTTTTTTGCGCCTGAAATGGGGAGCATTTTTCACAGCCCCGCTTTGTTCAGCGGGAATGTCTGTGCTGTTCGACAGTCTGCGGCTGGATGGATGGATGGCTTGTGGAGCCGATGATGAGAAGAAAGGAGCGTCAATGCATATGTGGAACTGGGAGTGGTGGCTTGGAATTGAAGCGGATTTACATGGGACAGGAGATGTGAGCCAATCTCTTTTTCGTCACTGGACGCTACAGCTTCTTGTTTGCTTTCAAACTTAGCTTGTAGCAGACATGCACATTTTCAGCATGACGTCTTTGATCCACTGGTGAAAGGACACTGATTCGCTCCTCTTTCATCTGTAACTGCTTCAAACAACAAACTGTATGCAGAAAAGTGGTTAAGATTGCACAACTGTCTATGGCTTATGTGTTGTGTTGTATTATTTTGTCATTTTATGTTAACTGTTCTTTTGATGGTGGTGCGGACACCCGCAGCGGCTCCTCTCTCCCCTGAGGAAAGAAATTTCATCTGTGCTATATGTTGCACATGTAGCACATTTGACAATAAAGTTGACTTGACTTGACCTGACTTGAACCCCCACTTTGAAACGCAAATATGGCTAGAAACCCTAACTTGAAACAATAACCCTCTCTGAAGACTCCACTTTGAGACTCTAAACACTGGCTTAAAACGTTAACCTAAACAGGACAGACTCTGAAAGCCTAATCGCTGTTTGAAATTCTGTTTTAAAGGCCTCGGTGAAGTCCTAATTTGAAAACCTAAAAGTTATTTTAAGGCCAAATTTCAAAACCCGAATGGTGGCTTCAAATCCTGCTTCTCCAAACTCTGCCTGAAAATCCAACTTTGAATCCTGAACCTGAAGGCACACACAGTCACATGCCAAGGTCTTCAGTCCATTTTCAAACTAGTTTGAAACCAGTTTTGTCAGTTAATTCTGTGATTGACAGGAAATATTTAAAAGAAAGAGTTGTAGTTTATGTATGTCTGTGTTGTTGTCTCCATAGCAACAGCATGCCAAAGCGGTTGGCACTCATCTGCTTCCTGTCTCTTGTAATGGCGATGAGCATCCTGGGAAACCTACTGGTCATGGTGGCTGTCTGCAAGGACAGGCAACTCAGGTACCATACTGTGTCCTTTAGAATGTCTTTTTTTTTTCCTTGGTGATGGCAGCCTCATGCTTTTGGATTGATTTTCTTCTGCTGGAACTGAGGCCTTTGACAAGGTGAAGGGAATTTCGAACAGCATGAAAATGCAAGCAGTGTTAATACAAAACCTTCAGGGTTCTGCAAGAAAGCAAAAAATATACAACAAGTGGACCTCCAACTTTTCGTGGGGGATAGGGACCGGACTGACAAAAATTGCAAAAAGTCACTTATAATTTACACTCACTGATGAGTATGAGGGGGTACACACACACACACACACACACACACACACACACACACACACACACACACACACACACACACACACTATATATATATATATATAGAGAGAGAGAGAGAGAGAGAGAGAGAGAGAGAGAGAGAGAGAGAGAGAGAGAGAGAGAATATTGATATTGAAATTAATCTTATACTAATATTGCAAATATCACTTTTAGAATTTTTGTTGGTGTTTTATATTTTGTTTTTTTTTTAAATCTTCATTTCCCCTGTTCCTTTTTCAATGTATCTTTGAGTGCCTGGAAAGTTCCTTTGTAAAAATGCTGATTATTATCATTTTGTTATTGCATTTTTTTTCTTTAAAATTATTTGCATCATGCGGCTGCTTGCCGGTCTCGTCAACTCAAAAGCAAATTGTTCAACACATAAGAATTTTTGGTCACCATATATCAAAAGTACCGGTAAATTCCAATCCAGAAGGCAGAATTATTTTACCCGGAAACCGTGCGGCTTGTAAATCTGACTGGCTTAAAGCCCCATCTGTGGAGTCAGCGTCACAAACAAAGGCGTTTAAATGAAAATAATTGAATACATTTGGCCTGCTATTAGTCTCAATAGCCTCCATTTGTCCTTGTTATAAGAATTGTCAGATTATATCGGAATACTATCCAACTCAGAACCACATCTGTGTGTGCACGTTTGTGTGTGTTTGCTGTCACAAAGATTGTCCCGTCCTTCTTCTCCTAACCTCCATTTTGTCTTTGTGTCTCACTTTCTGTCAAGATGGCGGTCATTCTATGACCATGTGTGTGCGTGTGTGTGTGCGTGTGTGTGTGTGTGTGTGTGTGTGTGTGTGTGTGTGTGTGAGTGTGTGTGTGTGTG